GAACTTCTTCAGCATACGTTTCTAATATCCAAGGGTGGTTAGGGCCTGCCTGAAATAGCACTTCTCTTCCACCAGCTCCACATGCTTCAATATTAATCACAGCCCTGATCTAAAACAGGAAGAAACTTTTACTTTCTATTAAACAACTTATATGGAAACATTTGAATAAAATAAAGTATTGTATACTAAAGAGCAAAGTGGGCAGCTTAAGGTTTCTTTTGGAAACTACACACCTCTTTAGCCCATTTATGTTGAGTTATAAACCCATGACTAGCAGGCATAAAGTTTTCTTCGGCACCATTAAAAAGGAAAATAATATTATGTTTTAATGTTTTGTTTGATTGGGATATGACTCGAAGTATTTCCATCATTAAGGCACATCCCGCACCATCATCACTTGCACCTTTAAATAATTAAACAACAAATTAGAAAACAGTAAGTTGTACCAATAATATTAGTTAAATTTTTTTAAATAGATAAGTTTTAGGTAGCATTTACCATGTATTACTATATAATTTAAATAACTGCAAATGCTATCAAAAAAACTGTAACTATTTAACTTTTGTATTAAAATATCTGATTTAAAGAAAGATGGGCACCTGGGCTGTCAGTAACACTATCAAAGTGACAATTTATTAATAAACTGTGGGAGGATTTGATATGTGATCCAACTTTAACAATCAAATTTTGTAAATTGCTGTAGACATTTGTCATTCCATCTAGAAATTCCAAGTAGAAGCCTCCACTTGTTCTTTGCACATCAGTTTCAATTATAACATGATCCTTTTTATGTGAAATTATTTCATTGATTTCTTTTTTTAAAATGTTCAATGCTTTAACTTCATTCTCTTCACTGCCTGCAATACGAGGCCCCAAAGATGATAAACTTTTTATTGTTTTAAAAGCTCTTTCAGCTATAAATTGATCAGGATATTTTTCTTGATCTGCAACTTTTAACCCTACTGGTAACCTTTTTTCAATTATAACTGTTGCAATGAACACCAGCACTATTAACCCTAAAAGTCCAAAAAATTGAAATGTTTGAATTGGTTTCAAGATTTTACTCTGATCTCTATTAGTTTTAGGTAACAAAGGATCTACAAAAACGCCCTTGGAATAACTACTTGTTGGTCTTCTTCTCAGTACTGGACCCTAAAAAATAGCGTTTAGTTAGTATACTCCTTAATTTATTATAATATAAAAACAATATCAAGCATGAATTTACCTTCATACTGTACTCATTTATCTAATAGCTTTGTGAGGGTTTCAAGCTAAAATTATCCCATTCATAGTAAAAGTGCTTAACGGAAAAAACTTCTTACATTTTTATGTAACAAAGTAACTTTAATGCAGGTGCGTTGGTTTGATAAAAAATGATAATTCATCACTGTCATAAATTATGATTAGAACAAAGTACTCATGATGTTTGAAGGATAATCCTTGTATGGATAAAAATATGTAGTATTTCGTCTATTAATGGAGTAACAGTCAGTAAGTTCGTGACAGTACTTTACTTAGGTCAGGGTATATCAAGATTATTTTACAAATTTATATTTTGTAATGTAGATTCACATTTCACATACATTTCACACAACCTACAAAATTGAGCAAAACAAAATAGTTTGACGTATAGCTGACAGTACCCTGCGTTAAACTAAACTGCTAATGAACTCAATTGAAATAAAAATTGTTCCACTATTGAACACAATAACAATGCAGATTGACGTCTTATTAAAATTTTTTTCATACATGCCAATGTATTGGTTTACTGTTCTAAAATAAACATTTGCACAGAATTTTATTTATTTATTTGCTTATTTATTTATATAGAATATTATAGCATCGTGTGTAACTTATCAGTTTCTAGTGATGATCTTTCCAATTTCTGTACAGATACGTTGATGTAGATATATGATCATTCTTTAACCGCACGTTTTGTTCCTGGTAAATAAAAAAAAGTACTGGATAATAGTCAGATAATTTTTCAATGGTATTTCGTTTTCATTTAAACTTTATATTTTTTTTTGTAATGTCGAGAAGACCATAAACAGGAGAAGTAAGTTATTTTGCGCTATAGTAGTTTAGCATTTGATATGCCCTGTTTACTGCTGATATATGTTATTTGGTGTAACCCTATTACATCGTATAGTTAGAGAGCTGATCTGCAAAAAACCATGTCCCTATCATCTGCTTTTTAAAATTGAAAAATGTTCACCTAACCGCTTCACTTTGTCGGCATAATTTACTTGATTTCTATACATTCCGGAAATATAGTGGTAGAAAAAATTCAGGGACCATTTTTCAGAGTGTGAATAAATGAAAAAAGAAAAGTGAACGCTAACCGGATCTAACAAAATAGACTATGTTCTTTTTTGGAAAAACAGTGGTAGAAATTTTGGTCGGGACATTTGTTAGATAGAGAAGGTTAAAAATGAAGAGTTATTAGAAAGAATAGAACAGAGGACTCTATGAAGTCAATAAGAAATAGGCTAGATAGGTTGGTAGAACACCTTCTCAGGGTGAGGGGTTAATCATTAGACATATTAGAAGCAGAAAGAGGAGTTAAGAAGAGTAGAAATAGATAAGGATGTGGGATGTTCTAGTTTTAGGGAAATGGTTAGGCTAGTTCAGGATAGTAAAGAGTGGATGTGCGTGTCCAACGAGTCTTAGGACTGGCGACCTTATGATGATGAATGGGAATATAAGATATTGATAATATTGATTTCAACATACAAAAAATAATACAAAGGTATCATATACGTTTTATGAAATTTAAGTTTTGAAACATAATAATTTTCTCCGATATTTTTGTAAAAACATATTGCAAATAATTTTCATTTAAATGAAATTAAGTAATCGTAAAATATATAAATTATGCATATATGCACTTACGTTCTGTAAATACAGATTGATTTCTGCTTTACTCAATATTTTGTGCTTTTTTTAAACTACTGTTGACTCAAATATATAACTTTTGTTAATTTAGTTTATTTCGTTATCATTTCGGTTTCTGGTTTTTTTTTTCATCAGAATCCGATAAATATTAAAAAATGTAATGATTTATAGCAGAGGTGTGCATAAAGTAATTAATATTACACAACTCAGATGCAATTAAAATGTAAATAAAATGTGAACTAAAATTAAATTTTATTACAATTGTACAGATGTAAACATAAACCCTGTTTAATTAATAATACCAATAAAAATAATGCAATTATATGTGTTTCAAGTTCTTAGAAGAATTTACTCATCATTATCATGGTTCCCTTCGAGGGATTACATTAGTGACTGTTCATAAACGGGAGGGGGGTGTATTTTGGCATAACGTTTTTGTTACGTGGGGGAGATAGGGGTGAAGATTTATCTTGGCAATATTGGCATTACCAGAACAATTTTGTCACCCGATGCTTTAATGTTGATAAGAAATTATAATTTTTTATTTAAAAGTGAATTAGTATAACGAAAAAATGTCTATTTTTTAAATTCAAGCGTAAAACTTTTTCAATATTGTCGTTACGGAACGAAACGTAGCATTTCCCAGTGGGGAGAGATTAGGTTAAGCTTTACGACCGTGTTACGTGAGGAGAAGGGGGGTGAACGATTCATGAGTTTTGTGTTACGTAATTTGTATTGTAAAGAAACCCCCTTAGATGTTTAAATATCTTGTAAATTTCGTAACGTTTTATTTTTAACCCTGATTTCATATCGTAATTTTGTTCTTTTTAATTCCAATTCATCTTTTAAATAATCAAATATTTCACTATTAGGCTTGCATTTAATAAATTATTTTACCGGAACTTACACAATTGTAAATAATTAGATTTTAAACATTTATTCGCTATTTGGGTTTTTAAGGAGAACAATAAACATACATACTATTACAGATACCTAGATACAGATTTAAACACAACAAAGAGGCAAATGAACTTTGATCTGTTACATTTATACATACATATACACATTTTGTTGATACTGATGATTTGTATACATGCAGAAACAAAAATATGTGCGTATATGTACCTATCTGCCCAATTAATTAGTATATAAATAAACAAATTGAAAAACTTACCATTTTGTTAAATTCGTTTAATTGAAATTTATCATTGTCAGTTTCGTTAACTTTTATTGCACTTTTTCAAGGCAGTAATTCCTTTTATAAAATCCAACAATCGAAACAAAGAGAAACGATTGCCTTGCCAAGAAACGAACACAATTACTCATATTTGCAACAATAACTGTTAAATATGTTATATACCTACAATAAACGATTGCGTTACTTTTTTTTAAGTGGATCTCCGCAAGTCGATAACTAACTGACCTAATTGAAAATTACTAATTATGCACTTTTATTTTCAATATCACTAATCTCACTTTTACTAAGCGTTTTATGTTCTCTAAGAAGCTACTTACATTCTTTCACTTATTTAATGGAAAAAAAAGTTTGACGTAAATGGAAAATGTTGCAAATAGGTACCAGACACTAAACAAATTTGCGTTTTTCGTGTCAACAAGTTAACTAAGTACGTAGCGTGTTTTTGTCAACTCTTTGTCAGAAAAGGAAATACGTACACGTGATAACTTTTTAAAATTGTTTTTGTGGACAGTAAATAAACAACCTCTATTAAATATACAGCGTGCGAAAGCTCGGAACTTGGAATTGAGTTAAGATACGTATGCTACTCTCATCAGCATCAGTAAGGACAGGGCGCGAACACCTATTGGCTGTTTGAAGTTGTGCAAATGCACTTACGAATACACATTTTTACGAAGCTACAATTCGCACAGTTTACATATATTTTGAGATTACATATACCACAAGTTTCACTCTTTCGCATAGGGTATATTTAAATTTTAGTGTAAGAAATGTGATCGTCCACAAAAGACGTCGGTAAAGGTCTAGATCAGTGATTCCCAACCGGTGGTTCGCGAACCCCTGGGGGTTCGCAGTGTTTGAAAAGGGGGTCTGCGAAAATAATATTGTAATGGCGGATTTTTGAAAACGCCAATAAAATGCCTGTTTGTTAAGAAAACTATAATAAATTTCAATATTTTCATTTCTTTTTTACTTATTTGTTTTTCGAAATTACTTCATCAATATCAAAATATATCAACAATTTTATACATTAAAATTTATTCCTCTTATTCAAGTAATCAAATACTATTTATTCTCTTTTTATTACAAACATTTATTTATATTTAAAACATTTTATCAATGTGATTAGTAT